CACCTAACCAAGAAGCTGTTTGCAGTTGTTATCTGTTGGGAAAGGGCAAATCAGTTTTCTCCTATGGAGTGTCACTGGGTACATCAATCACACTCCAGGCCGGCAAACCCTATGCCCAGATGTAGTTAGTCAACCCCAAACACATTACATTTGTGTGTGTGTGTGTGTGTGTGTGTGTGTGTGTGTGTGTGTGTGTGTGTGTGTTTTCTTTCTTTTATTTGGTTTTGTTTTGGTTCTTGTGTCTTAATTTAGTTTTGTTTGTTTGCTTGTTTTGTTGTTTCATTTTTTTGACTTCTCTTTTCAGAGAGAATGAGTGCGTGAGAGAGAGAGAGAGAGAGAGAGAGAGAGAGAGAGAGAGAGAGAGAGAGAGAGAGGGAGATATTGGATGGATAGGTAGGTGAAGAGGATCTGGGAGTAATTGGAAGAGAAGAAATAATATGAATTGTAGAAAATTTTTTAAATTAAAAACCTCTTCTCCCTCCAGAGACTGGTAACTGCTCTTATGTCCCTGGGAAGGGTGGAGCCTCCTAAGCCCCTCCTCACCTCTCTAACTAGATGTTAAAAGGCCCAATATTGTTCAGTCAGGTCTTTTGCAGTTGATCACAGTTGCTGTGTTCAGGGAAATTGATCTTGTCATGCCCAGGTCTAATACACTTATTCACTCTAACCAACAATATATAAGGGCTCTCTTTTTGCCACATCCAAGTCAGCATTTACTGCTCCTTCTGTTATTCATGATGGCCATTCTGAGTGGGGTAAGAGGGAACCTTAAAGTAGTTTTAAAGTCGAACATTTTAAAAACATTTACTGCCAATCATAGTTCTTCTTTTGAGAACTTTCTGTTCAGTTCCATTTAGGCAGTTTGTTTTCTTGGATTTTTTGTTTGTTTGTTTTTGTTTTGTTATTTCTAGACACCAATCCTTAGTCATATGTCTAACTACTATAGATTTTCTCCAATTCGATGGACTGTTGCTTCATTTGACAGTATTGTTTGCTGTATAGAGGCCTTTTAGTTTTATGAGATTTCATTTGTCAATTGTTGGTCTTTTCCCTCAAGCTAATTGGAGTCCTATTTGGAAAATTGTTATCCTGACTATAAATTAAAATTTATCCCCTACTCCTTTTCTCTTGCAGTTTCAGGGTATCGGTCCTATATTGGGGGTCTCTGGTCATTTTGTAATTGATTTTGTCCAAGGTGAGAGGCAAGGATGTAGTTTCATGTTTTAGAAGTTGAAATTCTGTTTTCTAAGTAGCACTTGTTGAAGACGCTGTCTTTTCTCCAATATATGTTTTTGGCATCTTTACAAAAAAAAATGGTAGCTGCAGTTGCATGGAATTATATCTGGGCCCTCTATTCTATGTGTGTAATTTTGTGTCAGTGTCATGACATTTTTGTTAGTATGATTCTGTAGCACAATTTGAAACCAAATCAGGTATGGTGATATGTCCAACAGTATTCTTTCTGTTTAAGATAGCTTTGTCTATTGTTGGCACTTGTACTACTATAAAAATTGGAGATTGTTATTTTCAATGAACACGAAAAAATGTCCTGATATTTTAAGGAGGTTTGCATTGCATCTGTTGGATGCTTTTAGTAGAATAGCCATTTCGTTATATTAATTCCTTCAATCCATGAACATGGGAGGTCTTTCCATGTTTTGATGTCTCAGTTTTTTTCAGTGTCTTAATGTGTTCATTGCAGTGTGGGACGTTTACCCACCAATCCCACAGCTCCCCAGAGTTTTCTTGAGTGCGAGCAGCAGGAAATATTAGATAGAAGGATTTATATTGTGGAGATAAATAGATAGAAAATGAAGGATAGCCTTGAGAGGGCCTGGAACCTATTCCAACGGTCCCTGACTGTCTCTGCCACAGGGTATTTATAGAGACGCCAAGGGGTGGAGCAAAAGGCCTCCCCGCTAGCACAGTGCAGACCATCTCAGACACCTGCACTCAGGTCTGTGGTCCTAATCATCCTCTCTATGAGGATCTGCTGGGTAAAGCCACGAAGAACCTGAAAACGGGCTCCCACATTGCAGAAAACTTCTCCTTGATTAGGGTTATTCATAGATGTTTGCACGTGTGTGCATGAATGTGTGTGTGTGTGTGTGTGTGTGTGTGTGTGTGTGTGTGTGTGTGTGTGCTGTGAATGGGATTGTTCCCTGAATTCTTTTCCAGTAGTTTTGTCATGGGAAGATTACTGATTTTTTGAATGTTACTTTATATCCTATCACTTTGCTGAATGTATATCAGTTCTAAGGGTTTTTCTGGTACAGCATAATGAAATTATAAAAATTTCAGGTAAATGGATAGAACTGGAGAAAATTGTACTAAATGAAGTCACCCAGGCCACAAAAGACAATGCTGTTGCTATGTCTCTCTGGCAGGCCCTAGCTTAAAATCTTTCATTTTGTGTGTTTAACATAGAGTTCATGTGGAAACTAAAAAACTAGAAAGTTCGCTATCAAAAGTATGTATTTAGGGAGGGAGAATGACAGAATGTAGGCGAAATTAGAGAGAGGAAATACTTGGGAATAAAGATATGAGCATGTAGTCCAGTAATGGGGAAGGGGGAAGAGGGGCCAGGGGAAGAGTTAGCCAAAATGAATTATGCACAAAGAGGTTACTTTGGACTTACAATTCTGCAGCACAAATGAAAATATACTAATAGAATAGTGGAACATATGTCATATGAAAGAATGGAAGGTGAATACAGGAAGTTAAAGATTTAACTGGGAAAGGGAGAAGACAGCTGAGGAAAAGGAAAGTTAGGAAGTATAATAACCAAGATCAAGTGTGTAGTAAGAGACCCACTAATTCATAAGCTAGTTAGAGGTATAATTAAAAAGTAGAAAGGTATTTGAACAGAGATAACCCATGTAGTGAACTATGAAGACACAGGCCATTAAACAAAAATCTCAGTGCTTAGCACATTGACTTCCTTATGAGTTGTTCAGGAAGTTCTCAGAAGTACCCTGGAACAATACAAGCCATTGCCAATTCTCCTCATTGTCCTCTATAACTAGATGGTAAGACCCTATTAATCAATATACCATATTCTTTGGCTACAGGACATAGAGAAATTAGTTTTGAACTGTCCACGGAACTCTTTCTCTGCTAGCTAGCTAGTTTTAACAGTGCTGGAAGGTGCTATGTAGGTGGCTGGAGGTAAAAATATCAATGCTATTAAGTACTGGATGCTGAAGGTTTCAATACTGACCTGCCAGGCAAGATATGTCCACTGGTGCAAAAGTGGTCAGACTGTTTATGGGGGGTAGTCAGGCTCTTTCTTGATTGTCTTTGAAGCTGCCGCACAGGAGGGAATTCATACCTGGTACAATAAACCTAATCAAAACCTGTGGCTAAGGAAGTTATAGGCCCTAGATGAACATCTACTGATTTTGTTTTTCTCAGGGGTTATGATGTGATGCTACCTTCTGAATATTTATGCTTATGTTTATAGATTTGTGCTACTTCCTACCTTGGTCTGGGAAGCTTTTTATTGTAGTGAGTAGAGGTTTAATACAGAGATTCATAACTATTCAAATGCTGAGAATAAGCACCTCTCCTTTCCTCAGGCTCAGGGAACATCATCAGAAAGGGATTAAAAAGAAATTGTGAGCTGGAGGATAAGGAGAATTTCTGCGAAATGCTGTCCTCTGAATAGGACATGGTGGTCACATAAATGAACCAGGAGTAGTTACAGTTAGCTGCACAAGATCAAGCCAGTTAATAATTCTACAATTGAGGGACAAAGGACTTTTGAGATTCCACCCAAGCTAAGAGCTATTGGTAGCTGATGTCTGTGCTGAGAAGGCCAGACACTTTTCTTTGAGGATGTAGCCAGCACCTCCTCCCCTCTCTCCCAGATTCACTGCTCCTCTGTTTCTCTTCATAAAAGAGCAGGCATCCCAGTGATATCAACTGAACATGGCATAACAAGATGCAATAAGACTATGGATAAACTCTCATATCAAGGCTGGATGAGGCAACTCAGTAGGAGGAGAGGGTTCCACAAGCAGGCAAATGAGTCAGAGACACCCCAACTCTCATTGTTAGGAGTCCAACAAAAACTCCAAGCTAAACAACCATGGCATGTATGCAGAGGGCCTAGGGCAGACTCATGCAGACATCGTGGTTGCTGCTTCAGTTTCTGTGAGGCCCTGTGAGCTCTGCTTAGTTGTTTCTGTGTGGGCTATGTTCTCCTAGTATGCTTGGACCCTCTGGGTCCTATAATGTTTCCTCCCTGTTTTCAGCTGTGTGTCCTAGCTCTGCTTAATGTTTGGCTGTGACTCTCTGTATTTGCTGCCATCAGCTGCTGAGGCAGCCTCTCTGATGATGATTGGCTTCCTAATCTATGAGTATAGCAGAAAATTACTAGGAATCATTGTATTGAATTTTTTATTCTTCAGTGCTGTTTGGTTCTACCCTAGGTCTCTGAGCCATCCAGCTTCCAGATCCTGGATATCCAGACAATGTCAGGCATGGGATCCCTCTTGTGGCTTTTGCCTAAAGTTTGACCAGTCATTGGTTGGCCACTCCCACAAGTTCCAAGCTACCATTGCCCAGCACATCTTGCAGGTACAACAGATTGTGGGTTATAGGTTTTGTGACTGAGTTGGTGTTCCAGTCCTTCTACTGGAAGACTTGCCTGGTTACAGAAGACGGCCAGTTCAGGCTCCATATCTCCCATTACTAGGAGTCTTAGTTAGGATCACCCTTGTAGATTCCAGGAAGTTTCCATTACACTAGGTTTTTACCTCACCCCTGAATTCCCCCCCCTCTTCTCAGTCATCTCTTCCAGTACTTTCTCTTCCTCCCTCCCCCTCACCTGATCCTTCCTGTTCCCATCCTCCCCAAGTCATAGTCCACCTGCGAAATTTATTTTCCCTTCCCACTGGTTACTCATTACAAGTAAGCTGGGGCTGGGCCAAGCCTATATTTGGTGTCCTGTGAAGAAAGAAGAAATAGTAACTTCTCAGTTGGAGGATCAAGAAGCCATGAATCCTAAACAGCAGACAGTGAAACTAAATGATGGCCACTTCATCCCTGTACTGGGTTTTGGTACCTATGCACCTCGAGAGGTAATGGTAGCAGAAGGGGCTGAGGGTTCAACAAAATAGAGAGCTTGACTTGGGCAAGTGGGGATGAAATGGTATATGCAGTCATTTAGTTCTGATGTGATACTGTGGGGCTAATCTGCTTCTCCATTTTACCAGGCTAGAGCTATTCCTTGTGGGAGGACAAGGCAGACTGCACTCATCATCAGGACTGATCAACAAACTTAGCTCCAGATTATTGAGGGCACTAGTTTTTCTTTTCATTTCTCTCTATCGCAATTAGGCAGAAAGAATGAAAAGAAGCCATCAAGAGCACTGCATGATGACCAATGATACTGAGTACTGACTATGTTTTTCTTTAATTTTTTTTATTTTACTTTAAATTTATTTGTTTATTTTACATCCTGACTGCAGTTTTGCCTCTCTCTGCTCATCCCATTCCTGTCCCCCACCTCCCAATTCACTGCTCCTTCATTTCTGTTCAGAAAATGGCAGGCCTCTCATGGATATCAACAAAACATGGCATATCAAATTGCAGTAAGACTAAGCACCTCTCCATGTATTGGGGCTCAGCAAAGTGACCCAGTATGAGGAATAGAGCTGGGGCTATTGGTCTCTGCATTTGTTTCTACCAGCTATAGGATGAAGCCTCTCTGATAACAATTGGGCTTTTAAAAAGAAAGTGCTTGTCATCCACCTCCAGTTCTTATATCGACATGTGTGATTATATATTTACTCATTTTAAAACTGTACTATTCTTTTTCATGTGATGGATAGTTTTATGCCAAGCTGACATAAGTTAAAGTCATTTGAGAGGAGAGAATATCTAAAGTGTTAGAGACAGCCCCTGCTCCCACTGTTAGAAATTCCATAAGAAGACCAAGCTACACAACTGTCACATATATGCAGAAGGCCTAGGTCAGTCCAGTGCAGGCTCCCTGGTTCAGTTCAGACTCTGTGAGTTCCTATGAGCCAAGGTTATTTGATTCTGTGGGTTTTCTTGTTATGTCCTTGATCCCCCTGGCTCCTACAATCTTCCTGTCTCTCTTCAGCAGGATTCTCTGAGCTGGGGCAATTGGTCTCTGCATTTGTTTCTACCAGTTGCAGGATGAAACGTCTCTGATGACAATTGGGCTTTTAAAAAATGCTTGTTGGTCACCTCTAGTTCTTCTATCAACAAGTGTGTTTATATATTTACTCATTTTAAAATTGTACTGTTCTTTTTCATGTGCTGGATAGTTTCATGTTAACTTGACATAAACCGAAGTCATTTGAGAGGAGAGAATGTCAGTTAAGAAAATGCTTCCATAAGATCTGGCTGTAGGGAATTTTCTAAATTAGTGATTGATGTAGGAGAGCCCAGTCTACTGTGGGTGGTGTAATCCTGGGTTTGTGGCCCTGGGTTCCATAAGAAAGCAGATTGAGCAAGCCAAAAGGAGTAAGCCATTAGGCAGCAATTCTCTCTGGCCTCTGCATCAGCTCCTGCCTCCAGTTACCTGCCTTGAGTTTCTGCCCTGACATCCTTGAGTGATGGAGTGTGACCTGAAAGTTGTAAGGTGAAATAAATCCTTTCCTCCACAAGTTGCTTTTGGACATGGTGTTTTACCACAGGAACAGAAACTCTAAGACAATGAATATTGGAGAAAATATCTACTTTTTCCTGAATTTCCTTCAATTTTCCTATATGTTTACTACATCACCATTTCATTTTCATCCTTTAATGTACTTCTATATTGTTAATTAAAATTTAGCCAAGCAGAGAGAAAACTTATTTTTAGTTATATCACAACTTCCACAAAATTGTAGCTTAAAGGAGGGCATGTACCTGAATATTTTTCTGTATGATATCCTTAATTTCCTCGGTATGAATCTTTGAGTACACATCTTGCTGATAGTTTTTATTTTTGTGCAGATAAAATGGCTGTGTGAAAATAATTTACATCATACTACTGTCTACTCAATTCCTGTTGACAAACTCAACCTAGATGATCCCTGGGAATGTTGACATCTTCCCATTTCATAACAAGGATGAAAGCTGTCCATGAACTGCCTATGCAAACAGTAGGACTCATGTGTACATGCTTTTATCTAGGATGCACTAGGGGTTGTTTAACAAGCTACAAATAAACAGCTTAGGAATGGAGACTCTAAAAAGTTTCTGTTTAAACTCTTTTGTATTTTGTAAATTCAGTGTTAGGGACTTTGATGTATTCTCTGCGACTTTGCTGGGAGAAGGCTCATCAGAGATTCTATAGTGTTTCTTCTTTATGTGATCTCATGCCCTTTTTCCTATATAAATTTCATGGTTTCATATACCTAGGCATCCTTCTAGCACATAACAGTTCCTGAGATATCAGTGCGGACCCTAATGCCAATGACTGACCTGTAATTGACTGGACAGATTGACTGGTTCCTGGGGTACCCTACTCGTGTGACTCAGTGGGAGAGGTCCAGATAAACTTGGTTGAATTCTTCTCTGCAAATGGACACCACCCTGAAGACACAGGGAAACTTGATGTGGAACAAGATGTTTCCTTTGTTCTTGTACCTTAAAAATTCTAAGTCATATCTATCTCTAAATGCTGCTTTTGATTGTTCTTTTAGGTACCCAAGACTAAGGCTGCAGAAGCCACCAAAATAGCTATAGATGCTGGTTTCCGCCATATTGATTCTGCTTCTATGTATCAAAATGAAGAGGAGGTGGGACTGGCCATCCGAAGCAAGATTGCAGAAGGCATTGTGAAGAGGGATGATATATTTTACACAACAAAGGTTGGTAAAATACACAAATTGACCCTTATTATTGCATACAATGGTAAACATAGAGAAAGCTTTAGCTTTCTCATCAATGTCTTTAAATTCATCAGTGGAATGCTAACTATCTTCTTTTTCTGAGTGTCAGAGCATGATTTAGAATGGACTGAAAAACTGGCTTTTTTTGGATTGCCTGAATAGCTATAAAACTTCTCATTGTTATGAAAACTACTTCTCTTTTTCAACAATAAGATGCACTATTATAAGAAAACACTTTTGGTATTAAACAAGATATAATTAATTCTATAATATATGATATAATTATATAAGTATAATTATACAATAATCAAACATTTTATATAAATATGAATATTTAATATGTAACCATAACATAATATGTATATAATTCTATAATGTGTTCCTTCTCCTATAACTAGGATATAATTGGATGTTCAAAATATTTTCCATTTAGATATACATAAAAAAATAGACATGAGTTCATCCCCTTTGAGTTGATGGGATAATCACATTAGATTTTCATTTTCTTCAGTAAAGATTTTGTTTCTATAAGAAGAACAGAAATACTATGCATAGTAAGAAGTATATGAAATTACATTTATAAGTTATTAGCAGCTATAATCATTTATTATTATGGACTATATATAATTGTGTATGCGATGCTTTTCTGAAACTGCTACCATCGCCACAGAGCTCAGTAGTACATTATGCTATGCCATTATGATGGTTCTGAAGTCATTAGGCAATTGGAGTAGTTCAGCTCAATAAAAGTCTATGGACTACCATTGCATGTTTGGTTCGTTGCTAAACAAAACTTTGTTATGTAGCACATGGCTATGTGTTCTATATTTGTATTTTGATCTTTCTTTCCTAAGTGGTTTCTCATAAAAACCAAACTACATTTTTTAAAAGCTTCACATTTCCAAATGAAGATATTGAGGGTTTTGTTGTTGCTGAAGGCAATGATTTCAGTGTGAGTGGTCAGGCCATGTAAATATTTTGATTTTTTCTTACTCTGACTCAGTTAAAAATATCTTAGGGATGATACTGTTTATTATGTCACTTTACGAAGAGGAAATTGAAATAAGGAGACTGGAAATATCTACATCTCAGTATTAACTTACAATAATATTTTACAATACTCTTAATGCATGTTTCCCATTTAGTAAAACTGTTCAGTAACTCAATTTATAGGTTATATTGTCTTCACCCATGTGTGTTTTAAAAAATATTTACTTATTGTAAGAATATTAGTGTCTTGACTGCATGTATGTTTGTGTACCATGAGTGAACCTGGTACCCACAGAGACCAGAAGGGGGCATCAGATCCCCTAGAATTAGAGTTAAAGAACATTGTGTAGCTGCCATATGGGTGCTGGCAACCAATTCAGGGCTATCCACAAGTACACTCTTGCTAATACATCTCTCTAATCCTCCATGGGTTAGTTTGAGTTTGTACACTTTTATTCAGCTTCTCTTCAGATAGGCACAGCAGCATTGTGCCTTGTTCCTGTGATGGTTAGTGAAGATTCAAAGTGCACATGGCAACAATTATTCCTTCATCAACCATTTTACTAAAAAGACCTGAGACCCCAACTAACAATGCAGAGTGAGCAAATGTAGACCACCCAATTTTGTGGTTGTTAACACAATCTGTCTTTCTGGAACAATTTTAAATGGCTATTTAGACCTAGGGAAACACTAAATAAGATGTTCTAGAGAATAATTCCTTCATTGCCGCTGTTTTTTATTTTTATTTTTTATTTTTTTTTATTTTTTTTTAATTAATTTATTTTGCAATACAATTCAGTTCTACATATCAGCCACGGATTCCCTTGTTCTCCCCCCTCCCGTCCCCCTCACCTTCCCCCCAACCCCCCCCCCCCATTCCCATCTCCTCCAGGGCAAAGCCTTCCCCACAGACTGAGGTCAACCTGGTAGACTCAGTCCAGGTAGGTCTAGTCCCCTCCTCCCAGGCCGAGCCAAACAATCCTGCATAGGCCCCAGGTTTCAAACAGCCAACTCATGCAATGAGCACAAGATCTGGTCCCACTGCCTGGGTGTCTCCCAAACAGATCAAGCCAATCAACTGTCTCATCCATTCAGAGGGCCTGATCCAGTGGGGACCCCTGAGCCATTGGTTCATAGTTCATGTGTTTCCATTCATTTGGCTATTTGTCCCTGTGCTTTATCCAACCTTGGTCTCAACAATTCTCGCTCATATAAACCCTCCTCATTCTCACTAATTGGACTCCCAGAGATCCACCCGGGGCCTAGTCATGGATTTCTGCATCCAGATCCCTCAGTAGTTGGATGAGGTTTCTAGCACAACAATTAGGGTGTTTGGCCATCCCATCACCAGAGTAGGTCAGTTCGGGCTGTCTCTCGACCACTGCCAGCAGTCTGTTGTGTGGGTATCTTTGTGGATTTCTGTGGGCCTCTCTAGCACTTTGCTTCTTCCTATTCTCATGTGGTCTTTATTTACCATGGTCTCCTATTCCTTGTTCTCCCTCTCTGTTGTTGATCCAGCTGGGATCTCCCGCTCCCCCAAGCTCTCTTTCCCTCAACCCTCACCTTTCATTACCCCCACTCATGTCCAGGCTGTTCATGTAGATCTCATTCCATTTCTCTGTCATTGGGTGATCCCTGTGTCTTTCTTGGGGTCCTGTTTTCCAGGTAGCCTCCCTGGTGATGTGAGTAGCAGACAAGTCATCCTTGTTTCATGTCTAGTATCCTGCTATGAGTGAGTACATACCATGTTTGTCTTTCTGAGTCTGGGTTACCTCACTCAGGATGATTTTTTCTAGATCTATCCATTTGTCTGCAAACCTCATGATGCCATTGTTTTTCTCTGCTGAGTAGTATTCCATTGTGTATATGTACCACATTTTGTTTATCCATTCTTCAGTTGAAGGGCATCTGGGTTGTTTCCATGTTCTGGCTATTACAAACAATGCTGATATGAACATAACTGAACAAGTGCTCTTATGGTGTGGTTGAGCATTTCTTGGGTATATGCCCAAGAGTGGTATAGCTGGATCTTGGGGGAGATTGATTCCCAATTTTCTAAGAAAGCGCCATATTGATTTCCAAAGTGGTTGTACAAGCTTGCATTCCCACCAGCAGTGGAGGAGAGTTCCCCTAGCTCCACATCCTCTCCAGCATAAGGTGTCTTCAGTGTTTTTGATCTTAGCCATTCTGACAGGCGTAAGGGGTATCTCAGAGTTGTTTTGATTTGCATTTCCCTGATGATTAGGGATGTTGAGCAGTTCCTTAAATGTCTTTCGGCCATTTGAGTTTCCTCTGTTGAGAATTCTCTGTTTAGTTCTATAGCCCATTTCTTAATTGGACTGTTGGGCATTTTGATGTCTAATTTCTTGAATTCCTTATATATTCTGGATATCAGTCCTCTGTCAGATGTGGGGTTGGTGAAGATCTTTTCCCATTCTGTAGGCTGTCGCTTTGCCTTGTTGACCGTATCCTTTGCTCTACAAAAGCTTCTCAGTTTCAAGAGGTCCCATTGATTGATTGTTTGTCTCAGAGTCTGTGCTACTGGTGTTCTATTTAGGAAGTAGTCTCCTATGCCAATGCGTTCAAGACTACTTCCTACTTTCTCTTCTAGCAGGTTCAGAGTAGCTGGATTTATGTTGAGGTCCTTGATCCACTTGGACTTAAGTTTTGTGCACGGTGATAGATATGGATCTATTTGCAGCCTTCTACAAGTTGATATCCAGTTTTGCCAGCACCATTTGTTGAAGATGCTTTCTTTTTTCCATTGTGCACTTTTGGCTTCTTTGTCAAAAATTGTATGTTCATAGGTGTGCGGATTAATGTCAGGGTCTTCAATTCAATTCCATTGGTCCACATGTCGGTTTTTATGCCAGTACCAAGCTGTTTTTATTACTGTAGCTCTATAGTAGAGCTTGAAGTCAGGGATCGTGATGCCTCCAGAAGTTGTGTTATTGTACAGGATTCCTTTGGCTATCCTGGGTTTTTTGTTTTTCCATATGAAGTTGAGTATTATTTTTTCCAGGTCTATGAAGAATTGTGTTGGTATTTTGATGGGGATTGCATTGAATCTGTAGATTGCTTTTGGTAAGATTGCCATTTTTACTATGTTAGTCCTGCCTATCCATGAGCATGGGAGATCTTTCCATTTTCTGACATCTTCTTCAATTTCTTTTTTCAGGGACTTAAAGTTCTTGTCATACAGGTCCTTCACTTGCTTGGTTAGTGTTACCCCAAGGTATTTTATGTCATTTGTGGCTATAGTAAAGGGTGATGTATCTCTGATTTCCTTCTCCGCTTCTTTGTCCATTGTATATAGGAGGGCTACTGATTTTTTTGAGTTGATCTTGTATCCTGCTATGTTGCTGAAGGTGTTTATAAGCTGTATCAGTTCCTTGGTGGAATCTTTGGGGTCGCTCAAGTATACTATCATGTCATCTGCAAATAGGGAAAGCTTGACTTCTTCCTTTCCAATTTGTATCCCCTTAATCTCCTTATGTTGTCTTATTGCTCTGGCTAGAACTTCAAGTACTATATTGAATAAGTATGGGGAGAGTGGACAGCCTTGCCTCGTTCCTGATTTTAGTGGAATTGCTTTGAGTTTCTCTCCATTTAATTTGATGTTGGCTGTTGGCTTGCTGTAAATTGCCTTTATTATGTTTAGGTATGTTCCCTGTATTCCTGATCGCTCCAATACCTTTATCATGAAAGGGTGTTGGATTTTGTCAAATGCCTTTTCTGCATCCAGTGAGATGATCATATGGTTTTTTTCTTTGAGTTTGTTTATATGGTGTATTACATTGACGGACTTTCGTATGTTGAACCACCCTTGCATCCCTGGAATGAATCCTACTTGATCATGGTGGATAATTGTTTTGATGTGTTCTTGGAGTCTGTTTGCCAGTATTTTATTGAGTATTTTTGCATCAATGTTCATGAGGGAGATCGGTCTGTAGTTCTCTTTCTTTGTTGTATCCTTGTTTGGTTTAGGAATTAGGGTAATTGTAGCCTCGTAGAAGGAGTTTGGTAATGTTCCTTCTGTTTCTATTGTGTGGAACAATTTAGAGAGTATTGGTATTAACTCTTCTTTGAAGATCTGGTAGAATTCTGCGCTGAAACCATCTGGTCCTGGGCTTTTTTTGGTTGGGAGACTTTTAATGACTGTTTCTATTTCATTAGGGATTATTGGACTATTTAAATAGTTTATCTGGTCTTGATTTAACTTAGGTATGTGGTACCTATCCAGAAAGTTATCCATTTCTTTTAGGTTTTCCAGTTTTGTCGAATAGAGGTTTTTGAAGTATGACCTGATGATTCTCTGGATTTCCTCAATGTCTGTTGTTATGTCCCCCTTTTCATTTCTGATTTTGTTGATTTGGATGCTCTCTCTCTGTCTTTTGGTTAGTTTGGATAAGGGCTTGTCTATCTTGTTGATTTTCTCAAAGAACCAACTCTTTGTTTCATTAATTTTTTGTATTGTTCTCTTTGTTTCTATTTTATTGATTTCAGCTCTCACTTTGATAATTTCCTGGCGTCTATTTTTCCTGGGAGACTGTGCTTCTTCTTGTTCTAGAGCTTTCAGGTATGCTGTTAAGTCTCTAGTGTGAGATTTCTCCAACTTATTTATGTGGGCATTTAGTGCTATGAATTTCCCTCTTAGTACTGCTTTCATAGTGTCCCATAAATTTGGATATGTGTCTTCATTTTCATTGATCTCTAGGAAGTCTTTAATTTCTTTCTTTATTTCTTCCTTAACCCATTGGTGATTCAGTTGGGTATTATTCAGTTTCCATGAGATTGCAGGTTTTCTGTAGTTTTTGTTGTTGTTGAAATCCAACTTTAGACCATGGTGGTCTGATAGAACACAGGAGGTTATTCCAATTGTTTTGTATCTGTTTAGATTTGTTTTGTGGCCAAGTATGTGGTCAATTTTAGAGAAGGTTCCATGGGGTGCTGAGAAGAAGGTATATTCTTTTTTGTTAGGATGGAATGTTCTGTAGATATCGATTAAGTCCATTTGAGTCATGACATCAGTTAAGTCCTTTATTTCTCTGTTAAGTTTCAATTTGGGAGATCTGTCCAGTGGTGAAAGTGGGGTGTTGAGGTCTCCCACTATTAATGTGTGGGGTTTTATATGTGATTTAAGCTTTAGTAATGTTTCTTTTACATATGTGGGTGCCCTTGTGTTTGGGGCATAAATATTCAGAATTGAGACTTCATCTTGGTGGATCTTTCCTGTGATGAGTATGTAATGCCCTTCTTGATCTCTTTTGATTGATTTTAGTTTGAAGTCTATTTTGCTGGATATCAAGATGGCTACACCCGCTTGTTTCTTAAGACCGTTTGATTGGAAAGTCTTTTCCCAGTCTTTTATTTTTAGGTAGTGTCTATCTTTGAATTTGAGATGTGTTTCTTGTATGCAGCAGAAAGATGGGTCCTGCTTTCGTATCCATTCTGTAAGCCTATGTCTTTTTATAGGTGAATTAAGTCCATTGATATTGAGGGAAATTAATGACCATTGATTGTTCATTCCTGTTATTTTTTGGTGGTGATGTGTGGGTACTTCTATACGTTGGGGTTTACTGCTGTGGCTTTATCTGTTGCCTGTGTTTTCGAGGGTGTATCTGACTTCCTTAGGTTGGAATTTTCCTTCTAGTGCTTTCTGTAGGGCTGGGTTTGTGGATAAGTATTGTTTAAATCTGGCTTTGTCATGGAATGTCTTGTTCACTCCATCTATGGTGATTGAAAGTTTTGCTGGGTATATTAGTCTAGGTTGACATCCATGGTCTCTTAGTGTCTGCATTACATCTGTCCAGGTTCTTCTTATTTTTTATTTTTATAAAGTAGCTGTTCTCTTAGAGTTCTTGGGAATCCTGGGACATCCTGAAGACATTTACATAAGGTTAATGAGGTTATTTACATTACAAGCAATAGTTATGGGTGAGGTCAGAGTTACTTCACATATGTTAATCTAACACAGCACACCACAATGAATTATATGCAAGAACAGTTATAGTGTATTAAACTCTTAAAATGTTTTATTGATTTAGCAAAATATAATTTTGATGATTATTATTGAACATTATTATTACTTAATGAAAGTTTTGGAACTTGAATAATTTTCTAGATTAACTTACAATGAATAAACATTTAAAGGAGGTCTATGGCTACATCAAATGAAAAAAGTTCAAGAGGAAGAGGAATAGTTTCTCCTATGGTCATGAATGTCACACCAGTAGAAAAATGTTTCTGTATTAGGTAAAGTAACACAACAAACTCTTGAGATTTAATAATTGAATGTTAATTCCATTCTTTACCTTTCATAGCTTTGGTGTACTTTTCATCGTCCAGAACTGGTGCAATTTTGCTTGGAACAGTCACTGAAGAAACTCCAGTTGCCCTATGTGGACCTGTACCTTATTCATTTCCCAATGTCTCTGAAGGTATGCAGTTTGGATTACCAAAAAATTATCTTTAATGTTAACATATTCCTGGTTGGTTGAATTCGACTTCTATAAAGTTTTAAAACATAATTCAGTTAATTTTAGAAAATACTCCAAATGTTTTATGCAAAGGAGTTGCTAGGATTATGTAAACAAAGACCCTAAACCATAATAAATAGATTTGGTATTATAAGTAGTCTTACAAAGTGTCTCTGCTTTTCAATTCCTGACCTGTGTATTACTTTAAATTTGTATGCATTTTTAAAAAGTTATTTTAATTTTACTTTATGTGTGTGAGTGTTTTGCACTATGTCTGTGTGTAGTACACAATGAGTTCAGAAGATGGCATTGCATCCCTTGGGATAGGAGTTATAAACAGTTAAGAGCTGACATGTGGGTGCCAAGAATTGAATCTGTGTACTCTGGAAAGCAGCAAGTGCTCTTAAGTATTGAGCAATCTATTCAGTTCCAAATTTAATTAGTTTTTTTATTCCAGCAATTTCCACTGGTGACAAATTTAGCCTTGAGGAAGTTTTTGAAGTTCTAGTTCATTGACAGGTGTTGGCTTCTCTGTATTTTACATCCCCAAAATAATCTTGAAAATATACCAGTCTAGGACTGGAGAGATGGTTCAGTGGTTAAGAGCACTTTCTGGTCTTACAGAAGACCTGAGTTCAGTTTCAAGTTCCCACTGAGGCAGCTCATAACTGTCTGTAACTCCAGCTTTAGCAGACCTGACACATTTTCTAGCCTTAATCAGCACCTTCACAGTTGTGAAACACACATACACACACACACGCACACACACACACACACACACACACACACACACACACACACACACACCAAACAAACAAAGAAACAAACACAAAAGAAAGCAACACAACAAAATGTAACAACCTTGTCTTTTCATATTTTGTTCACTTGCCAGGCTTGAAGCACCCACAAGCAAGGAAACATGGGGAAAATTTCTTGTTTATCATGGGCCAAAAATGTAGTTTATTGTTGGTGGAGATCACAGCCTTATTCTTGTCCAATTCCTAAGTGAAGGTGGCATTGAATAGAAACACAAGACAAACAAGATAGTGTTAGGACCCAGAAATTAGCTCTTTATTGAAATTTAATTATGTATTTTTTAAAGAACTATGGTGTTCAAGGACATTCTTTACAACTCTACATTCATAACATAAGTATTACATGAAGTATGATCCACTCATCTGCTGGAAGTCCTATTCACAACCCTCTATCAGTGAGTTTTGCTTTTGTGAGGAATAGCTCTCAATAGCTACAGCTGTTGAGAGATTAGTTTAACATTTGTCTCTATTTCAGCCAGGAGAGGATTATCTTCCAACAGATGAGAATGGAAAAACCATATTTGACATAGTGGATCTCTGTGCCACCTGGGAGGTGAGTATTTGGATTAGAGAGCACAATGGGAAGTACAGAAAGGGCAAGTAGAGTCAGAACTCCACTGTGAGAGTGAGGTGTGCATTCTGTGTTGTAAAAACTAATGGTTTTATAAGGGCCTGTTTCTTAAGATTGGGGACCATGCATGACAGTGATATAATAGTAATGAAGGGAAGGTTTGACTAAAATGACAACAAAGAGTCTAATTGACCAAGGATCGCTCAGGGTCCTCTTCATGGTTGATACTATCATTCTCCTTACTCTTTTGTTTTTTCTAAGGAGTAATGCCAAGAAGTTTCATTTTCATTTTCTTACAGTGTTGTTTCTAATGTTATAGTCTTCCATTTATATTAGTTTATATTTTGGCATATTTTTTCTGTCTAGGCCATGGAGAAGTGTAAGGATGCAGGACTGACCAAGTCCATCGGGGTGTCCAACTTTAACCGCAGGCAGCTGGAGAAGATCCTGAACAAGCCAGGGCTCAAGTACAAGCCTGTGTGCAATCAGGTGGGGATCCTAAGTCCCCATTCTTTCCCATTTATTCCTTTCTTTCTCTGCTACTGCCAGGTGCCAGTTGGAGGGAAGAAGTAGCATTAGAAACTTAGAATGAAGTTTTAAGATGATCGTATTCCCTAGTATCTTTTAATTTCTCTGATTTCTGCCATTAAATAAAGTGTGATAGCTCGTTCATTGTGCCATGCCTTGTCTCTGGAGTTACTTTTAGCAACATTAAGGTAAATGGTAAAGTTTCTTTATTTTAAATAGTGACCTAAATCATACACATATTTGGTACATGTTTCATTACCAATTTTCATGTCATATTTGAGAATCCATCAATGATTTTTGTGTAAGTAGTCAATTTTTGTGGTTTGGAAATCATTATTTCATTTTTAGCTACTCTGTAACATTTCTTACCTGAGGCATCCTTTGAAAAATTCAAACTAGTAAAGTTATTTCTAGAAGAGAGACTAATCTTTTATAATTTTCATTATCAGTGTTTTGAGAAAGAAAGCCACTATAATGATTACCACTGACTGGGGACTCTTACTTTCCTCTTTACATGTTTATCTTCTCATTTCTTCCCTTCCTTTTCTTCCCACAAACCCTCCTATGTGAAGGCAGAACTGAGAAAAGGTACCAAGCCACGTCGCTAAACATAATAAGAATTATGGGTTCATTTAAGTGTAAGAGCTAGTCAATAGTTAGCCTGAGCTAATGGCTGAGCAGTTTTAATTAATATAAGCCTCTGTGTGTTTACTTGGGTCCAAGCAGCTGCAGGACTAGCAGATGAGAGAGATTTGTCCTGACCACGGGCCAGATGGGACACAGGAAAACTTCTAGCTACACTCCCATGCACCCCTTTTCCTCTTTCAAATTCAGTTCATAACCTTTATTTTGATTCATTGTTGTTATAAGCACATACATATTTATAAATTCATGAATATAGGCTTCTCAGTCTGCATAATGTTACTTGAATATGTATATGTTTTTAGGACTGATCAGTTGGTACCAAATAATCGATTGGCATGCCCCTACCTGGGAAAGACTATTTCTCCTACTCTCAGAATTCCTTAGTTGCTTGTAGTTCTTTTAGCACATTAGTAAGACATCATTTATTTTCATTTTCTGTAAATATTTGCCCTGAGTTTTCTTATTTTTCATTTTAATATCAAGAAATACATAAATGACATTATTGCCATATCCACATACCTCTTTCTTTTCTTTCCTTTATGGATTCTTATGAATTTTTGTTTTAGTTTTCTATTTAGTAATCAAAATTCAGTGTGTCCATTTCCTGCTCCACATCTGGAACCAGTGATGACTCACCATAGCAAAAACTAGTATTTGCATCCATCAAGTAGGATATAGAGCTCACTCCCCTCAGAAATGTTACTTCTCCAACTGTTACTTCCCTGCAACCTAAGTTATAAATTTAACCATGTAAATCTGGAACAATTAATGGGAGTAATACATGGGTAGAGGAGGAAGTGGTAGAAGGGTGAATAGGCTCAAAATGTATGACATATTTATGAAGATGTATCTGAAATTCCTCACTATGTGCAATGAATATAAACCAATTACTTTATTTAATCATGGACCTAGCAAGATGGCTCAGTGGTTAAAAGGTCTTATCTCCAATCCCTTTGATTCTTGGGACCCCGTGATAGAAGGAAAGAACTGACCACACAAAAATCTTTTTTTTTTCTTTTGGTTTTTACAAGACAGGGTTTCTCTGTGTAGCTTTGTGCCTTTCCTGGATCTCGCTCTGTAGACCAGGCTGGCCTCAAACTCACAGAGATCTGCCTGCCTCTGCCTCCTGAGTGCTGGGATTAAAGGCATGCACCACCACCGCCTGGCTCCACACAAAAATCTTTTAACCACTACATGTTCACTGTGACATACACACAAATACCTACCAAACCCCAAATACATAAATAAATGTAAAAAAAATCTTACTATGAAGATGTTTATATTTTCTTTTTTTTTCCTTTTTGCCCTCTTCCTTCTTCATCTTCTGATTCTGTGTGTTTGTTTGTTTGTTTTGCTTGTTTTATAAGACATAGCCTCTATCTGCAGCCCAGGCTGGCCTGAAACCTATTATAGACTAGAATGACCACAAATTCATTGCAATCTTCCTGTCTCAGCTTCCTAAAGTGTTTGGTTATGGGCATGAGTCGCCACAATAGGCCTGATAGTGATACATTCAATTCAAATTTCATTGCATGGGTTAAACTAGCACACATTTTAAGTATTTTTTAAACATTTCTTTGTAACATTAAATATGGAATTTTATGTAAATTAGTATGTTTCTATTTCATCCATCTATAGGTAGAATGTCATCCTTATCTCAACCAGGCAAAACTTCTGGATTTCTGCAAGTCAAAAGACATAGTTCTGGTTGCTTACAGTGCTCTGGGAAGCCACCGAGAAAAACAATGGTAATATGGACAATGAGAATAAAACCAAAGGAAAACATTGTTGATTAAATATTTTTCATCTTACAACACTTTTTTTTGGAGTTCATTATGTAATGAACTGTAAGCAGGAAGAATTTTCATTTTTGGGAGAATAAAAGACCGTAATGGTTTTATAGTTCCATGTATTAAATTTGTTAAAACCCTGGTCTATATATCGATCTTCCTATGTATTAGAAGTCTTCTAACAAATCAAAGAGTAAGGAGAAGGAATTTAACATTTCTACCTTCCCTCCAGGGTAGACCAGAAATCCCCCATTCTTTTGGATGATCCAGTTCTTGGTTCCATGGCAAAAAAATACAAGCGAACTCCAGCCCTGATTGCTCTTCGCTATCAGCTGCAGCGTGGGGTTGTGGTCCTAGCCAAGAGTTTCACAGAGAAGAGGATAAAAGAGAACATACAGGTGATGAGATGCTGCAGGTGTTAGGCACCTACACAGAATTGTCCTAATGGACTTGGTTTTTAGTCCTATAACACTAGTCAGAATCACAGTGCATTTGTGCTTTAAGGGCATCTCCAGGGGGTTTCAATTCTGTTTCTCAGAAGTTAGATTTTTATATCACAATGACATTGGTAATTTAACCTTAAGTGAGTGGCATGCTCTTTTCTTCATTTTCTGAATGAGGCAGGTGAGACTAGGTGACTTTCATTCTTCAAATTATGTATATTTCCCTATACATATTCATATTTTAATGATCAGGTCTCTAATCACTTTGAATGTACTTCATGTCAACTATTTTTTCACATCTTGGCTCCTTTGAGAGTGGTTTTCTGCTCATTTCAAATAGGAGAACATTTATACCATTAACACTAGTAGTGCTAAAATCAGTCCACACCTACTTACAGGCTCTTTTTGAAAAGTCACTTATGTAGCTCCTTAGTTCATGGTTAGAGATTTGTGTGGGTTGATCTGATCTCAGTCAGGTTATTGTAATCTTAGTCAGGCTCTCTCTTTTTGCATAGAGAAGTTGCTTATGCATGTGGGGAGCAGTGATACATATTTCATTGTCCTAAGTGGAGTTGGTTTCTCCTCTCTGTAGTGTTTATCCTCCCGCCAGCCAGTGTTCCTCATATTGTACAATCCACAATAGTTTCTGAATTCTATAGTGTGTTTTCATGTCTAATTTTCTATCAGGTACACTATTCCTTCTTGCAAATACGACTGATGCCCTAAGACATGTGGCAACAATTTCTTCCACATCCTAATGTGAACAGCTCTAAATTCATTTAGTATGGAGTGGACTCTGAAAGATACAAAGAAGAGATGTTCTTGTGGTCTATATCATTTTTGTATTCTCTAAATTCATTGATCTTACATTCTGCCTTTGTTAAACAACTCATTCCTAAATCCCGTTTCCCCTATGACTTAAATTAAATACTATTATAAAAGAGATTTTCTCTGTACATTATTTAGATTATTCATGGCTTTCTTTGTGGTTGCCTGATGTTAAGCTTTCCTGTGTAAAACACACTAAAATTCTTCTCCATTATCTTTGAAAATGTCATTCTCTGTTCTTTCCAGCTTATCATTAAATTTCATCAGAATTATTCTGTCATCATTTCAAATGTTGACTAAAACATACTTACAATTGAAAAATGGGTAACAAAATTTTTTATCCGAATTTTTTATATTTTTTTATATTTCTTCAGATTATTTGTTAATACCTTTGTCTGTGAGGCTTTACATTTCAATTCAGAAATTAATTTCCAGAACTTCCACACCTGGTATTCATCACTTACTTAAATGTTTTGATGAACATGTGTTTAGTTTCTTGATTTCTTTAATATATTAAATAGTTTATCTGCACCATTCAGTCTGGTACATTTGAAATGGGCAGATGGGCAAATATGCAGTATAAAATAATAATGTAGTTCCTAATTGTTTTTTAGGTTTTTGAATTTCAGTTGACTTCAGAGGACATGAAAGTCCTTGATGGCCTAAATAAAAATATCCGATATGTATCTGGTTGCATGTAAGTAATTTCAATAACCATATTTTACTCAACTTTTTTTTCTGAGGTGAATGTAACATAATTGTTATCATTTGTCCTAATTTAAACAAGGAATACGAGGCCACGTTAAATCAGGAAGGAGACAAATACTTTAGCAACTGTTTCTAGCCTCCTGTGGATTCTGTCCATTGTGACAGGAGCAGGAGGAGTGGGCCCTTGCTCAGGCTCACGTACTACAGTTACTTCTCTCCTACGGTTTCAGGGAACACTCTATGTCTTCAGTGCTGGGTCTGTGTGCTCCATGTATGCTTCTGAATTCATCTGTCCTGTGATTTACCCTTGAGGCATTTAAACAAGCCTCTTGAAGCGTTTTCAATTCAACATCATGTCATTTTACATATCACCTGCTTAACCTCTAATTGTATTAAATGCATGACCATCAATTCTACGGTCTGCGATATTTCCTCCAGGTGAAATTGTTCATTGTTTTCAGGCAATTTAATGTTTTCAATGGTTTGAAAAACTCCACTTCTTTCATATTGCACTTTCCCCCCTCAGGTTCTAATCACTGTGTTTGTGTTAATAATGACTGGCTTAATGAATTCTATAGCTCACTTGGTATTGGTTTTCTAGCATATTGAGATCTCAATGTTGAAGATCAAGAAGTTATAGGGAATAGAATTATAACCAACACTACAGCATGTAGAAAATAGTCCCACCTGATGGAGGACTTCTAGTCAATAAGAAACCTTACTCTTCCTTCATGCTATATGTATCTTATACATTTGAAGTAGAAAGTATGTATGTATATATATATATACATATATATCTGATATATACTTCATATATGTATATATACATCATATATACACACATATATATATATATATACATATGTATGTAACATGAATCTTAAAAGTTCTTATTAATAAAAACAAACCCAGAGCCAGGTATTGGGGGTCAACGCTGAATGATCAGAGAAACAGAACAAGCCACAACTTCCTCACCTTGCCAGTTCCTCAGCTGATCCTGTTTCCTCAAACTGGAAGCCTCTGTGTCCTCATCTGAATGGGTCTCAGTTGAACTGTTTGCTCAAAAGCCTAAAAGCTCAACCAGCTCTAGTTCCTGGTCCTCACGCCTTAAATACCTTTCTGCTTTCTGCCATCACTTCCTGGGATTAAAGGCACGAGTTACCATGCCTGGCTGTTTCCAGTGTGGCCTTGAACTCACAGAGTTCCGGATGGATTTCTGCCTCCCAAGTAATAGGATTAAAGGCATGTGTGCCACCATTTTCTGGTCTCTATGTCTAGTGGCTGTTCTGTTCTCTGACCCCAGATAAGTTTATTAGGGTGCACAATATTTTGGGGAACACAATATCACCACATATGTATGTATATATGAATATATATCAGTCATATATATGTATATACAAACATATATCAATATATCTGATATATATATCAGAAGGTAGGAAAAGATATATTTATTACATCAATGAGGGAAGAAATGGAATATGTATTTCTTCTAATACTGGGAAATTATTTCTAAAAGAACATAAATATGAGAATTGATGAACATAGTGTACACTAACATATATAAAAATTGCTAGTATATTTTATCTTTATTAACGCTTTTATTAGTATGAAGAAAAGTGAAGAAAAACAGACAAATATTACAAAAAGACCAAGCACCAAGCAATCACTTATATTATTCATTTGAAAAATTAATAAGTAATTCTTTTTATCTCCTTTATAGCTTCTGTTACTATTACTTTCTTGTGATCTTCTATAGTTATCTTCTTGGATACATATATGCAATAGTCTTCCACTTATCTTTATGTATTGCTTTGTATGGCATATGCATGTATGTGCCTGTTTGTATAAGTGGATAAGTGCTTGTGAGTGTACCACTGCATGCATCTGGTTGTCAGTGGACAATCTTGATTGTGGTCCTTGCCTTCCACCTTGTTTGAGACAGAGTACTTTGTTTCTACTGAGTATGCTAGGCTACCTGTGGGTTTGTAGGAAATTTCCTGTCTCCACTTTCCATCTCACCATGGAGAACTATTACACTTGCATGCTACCATGCCCAGCTATATGTGGGTACTGGGGATCAAACCTCATGCCACCCGTTTGCACCAAAAGCATTTTCTCTACTTGCTGTGGGATGGTCTGTATGTCAAATGTGTTGCTGATTGGTCAATGAATAAATCACTGATTGGTCAGTGGCCAGGCAGGAAGTATAGGCGGGACTAACAGAGAGGAGAATTGAGAGAACAGGAAGCTGGGTGAGGGAGACACTGCCAGCCGCCATCAGGACAAGGAAGATGTAAAGTACTGGTAAGCCACAAGCCACGTGGCAAGGTATAGATTAATAGAAATGGATTAATTTAAGCTGTAAGAACAGTTAGCAAGAAGCCTGCCACAGCCATACAGTTTGAAACCAATATAAGTCTCTGTGTTTACTTGGTCGGGTCTGAGCGGTTGTGGGACTGGCGGGTGGCAGAGATTTATCCTGACTGTGGGCCAGGCAGGAAAACTCTAGCTACATCTACTCAGCCATGTTTCCAGTCCATTCTTTCTACTTCTGAATCAAGACTAGTATAGTGCATGTAGAAGGCAGCTAGCAAGTAATTTATCAATTAGAAAAATTGAAATGAAATTGATATCATCCATTTGTATCTTCCTGAAGTACTTCTTAGTGCAGAGTGTGTAGCTTGGCTTGTTCTTTTCAAAACAAAAGGATCAGTTTCTATTTTCATTAAGAGTTTGTAATTGAAAGAACCAAATATCCTTTTTTGATAGATGTATATTTGACAATTTGACTTTCTATTTTCTGTGTAAGTCTTAGAGAAAGGAGCATGATATGAATTACTTATTTAGCTTTGTTTAATGATTTATAAAATAATGTTCAAGGTAGACTGTATGAACTACCAGAAAATAAAAATTTGTATTTCCACATAACAACTTCATAGAAGTCACTCAAAACTAATATGATTTATTTGTCTTTCTAGCTTTAAGGACCACCCTGAGTTTCCATTTTCGGATGAATATTAACATGGAGGCCTGAGTCATGCCTTGTGCCAGAAGTCCCTGCATGTGGATAGTGTAGAGGAAGAGTGCACAGTGATGATGATTCCATATGTCACCCTAATCCATGCTTCTTAGCAACCCTGGCTCTGCTGAATTCTCAGCCATATGCAAGGAAGCAAACACAGTATATATTTGCCCCTTTCTGAATAGAAATAAAAGAATGATTTTCTGCAGCATTTATATATGCCAGTTTATATTATTCACATATTTTAACTTCTCCTGACTCATTTGGATCCCAAAAGGATTTCCTTGGAATGTGTGTACACGGGATATAATGATAAAAGACATTTTACAAACATCTAATATCATCAACAGAATTATCTGGCAAGTAGGAGTTATCAAGTATTTATTAATATGTTTTTCTCTAGTATTTCAAGGAACAAAAATGCATATCATGTGTGGTGTAGAAAGTGAACCATTCATAGGAAGGGTGACCTTGAGTCCCAGTGTTTCTCCAGAAACCTAGACACTGAAGTATCCTTGCAGGGGGTGGGTGGGATGGGGGTTGAGAGGAGGTGAGGGGAACCCAGCCTTCAAGGACCATGAAGACTCTAATGAAGGGAGATCTAGCAGAGACAAGCTGAGCGAGTCTTGGCTTGGAAAATGTGGATCAATATCCTTTGGAAAACGTATCTAACTAAGAAAAGTGTACTTTGTATGCAGTGCATCCTCAATCTAGTGATGTGCGTCAAACTGGAGCCCAGGTAGCCCAGGAAAAGCAATGTTCTTCCTCATGTGTAGGGACCTTTATTTAAACTTCTATGTCTTTAAAAAAAAGTTTTGACTTTGTCAATTTATTGAAACCCATTTTCAGGCGTTTCCCCCCTCCATTTGAGTTAAACTAGCTTTCATGAACAAAGGTAACCTTCAAAATTTTAGAGGATAACTAAGGCAATAAGATAATAAGGAAAATACACAACAATTCAGGAGTTGTGTGATCTAACTCACTCAGAGTTGTTCACAAAATATGACCAAATATGATTACTGACCAAAAGTTAGATTTCCAGTTTTAAGTCTGTTAAGTCAAGAACTTGGAAACTGCCATTTATTGCCTCACAATAAAGAAGAAATTGACAAACTAATGCTTCCTTCCCTGGGTCTGTAAGAAAGCCAAAACCACAGGCCAAAGTCCTTACCTGAAAATCAAGATGAGAAAAATTACCATCACAACATACACAGACAACATTCATGTCCTTATAACCGATGAATTTAGGATTTCTAAATTTCTAGAGATTATTGTACCTGGAAGAAGGGGAAGATGTAACCCATGATCTCTTTTGCTTTCCATGATCAGATCGAACACCAAACAATTCTCACACTCACTGGTCTTCTGGATGGAGCTGTTGAGTGACATAGTACTAAGGAGATTGAAAGGCCAAATTCAATGGGAGCAAGCACACTAATTGCTCACTGCGCTGGAGGGTACTTCCTCTGCTTCCTCCTGTAACACCACAGCAGAAGGGTGCAATAAGACCACAGAGGATCGAGGCTGAAAGAGCTGACTCTGCAGTATTGATGATAAAGGAAGTCTCTAGGATAAATCAATGGCAGTGAGGAGACAAGAGTTGAACCAAACGTGGGAAAGTTTTGCTCTGACATCTGTAGATGCAGGAAATAGAAAGCGCAAACCAAGTCTCAACCAGATTCCCTCTACATAGCACACTCATACTTACTTTCATTATTTTTTGTTCCTACTACCTCATGTATTACTTCTACATTTAGCAAATAGGCTCACCAAGAGACAAAAATAGTCTCGATGGCTAAAACAATTATAACACAGAGATATTGTAGAGGTGTTGGGACAATATGACTGAAATTAAATGGCTATTGACTCTAGAAGAAAAATCATGTCAGGAGAATGATGTAACTATAGAGGTGGAAATCCTAAGGAAGTTCAGAAAGACTTAACTTCATAAACAGTAACAGACATTAAGACTACTTGGCAGGATGTTGTAACCTGTGTCTGGGGAAAAATAAACAAATGCTCATTCACCACATTGAAAGCCCTCATGCCAGGCCATAAAGAACACTTCCTTCTAAGTCCAGCTTTGTGAACCAGTGAGTTTATTAGCTTGCCTTATGGGATGTGTATGAGAGCTTAGTTTCAGGAATTCCGTGACCCTCAGGCAATGTTGCAGGATAGTTCCCCCTGTGTGACCAGCACAGGTGATGGCCTTCCAAAAGCAGCATAACTGGAATGACCTCTTCAGTTAACCTTCTATTTCCTATAGAGCAACTCCCAAGGCCTGGTAATGCTGGGGTAGAATTACACACATCATGGTGGGGATACAGAAAAAAGGGAGTGGCTGGAATCTTGGGTGAGGATCAAATCCCTTACTTCTTCAACAAGGGAAAGTTAATCAGTCTGGATTTGTTAGGGTCTCTGATGGGGAGACACATGTGTTTGATTCCAAGATAGTTCATCCATACACCCTGACACATACAAGAATTCTAAGGACCTTTGGTATTTTTTCAGTAGGCAATCCTGAAACTCATATGTATAAAGAAAAATGAGAAAATGTTGCAAATCTAAAACATTGAAAACTACAGGACAATTGTAAAAAGTGTGTCGTTGCTGTAATTAGAACAGCAAAAGAAGATAGAGCAAACATGCCAGAAATTTGAAACAGTAGAAACCATTTCTGAAACAATGAGAAAAATGACAGATTGGGGAGACTTGAAGAATGTGAAGGAGAAGATATATGACAAAACAAAAGAAAAAACTAATTTAAGATACATTGTATCTAAGTTCATAAAATCAAAGCCAAAGAATATCTGAAAACAGCCAGAGGAAGGATGACACAATAGCTTTAGAGCAGCAAGATAAGAATACCAGGAGGCCACTTTGAAACCAGGAAGGCAAGAAGACAGTGGAGGAAAATATTAAAATGTTCGAAAAATATCCAGCATAAAAGCTCACTGTAGTGAGTGAGTTAATCTTCATACATTAAGAGAGAAAAAGCTTCATTGCTAGGGATATAGCTCAGTGGCTAGAGTCCCTCTGGAATTATTCTTAAATGTTTTCCATTTATTTACTTATTTACTCATATGCTTGTGTATATGTATTGTGAAGGACATGTAACTCATTGCCCATATATGCGGGTTAAGGGACAACTTGAATCTTTGTCAAGACAACAGAATTCTTTTCATTTAGTTTAAAAAAGTAAACTCTCTTATACATTTGGTTGTTATAAGTAAATGTTGTGAACGATCAAAGAGATTACTCAGGAGACACACTGTTCAAGTAATAACAATGTCTGTTACGTGAGTTATAGTTCATTTTACTGGTAAAATAGCTGAAGGTTCAACGTAGTCAATCAATTCAAGGGGAAAAGAATTAGTGTCCCTTTCTAATATAACTGAATGGATATTTTGAGCATTATATTAGCTTCTGTACACCATAGGAGGCAAGTTAGTTCTGTTTTATTTAACACCAAAAGTGTTTGTTTACAATGTTCTCTCTCACATAGTTCCTTGATAAGGGTGACATGTGATTTAAGATCAAAGAATGGTTTTGTAAAACAATCCAGGACAGAAAAGAAGTTGATATCTTCCATAGTCCATGTGAAGTCAGACACAGAAAGCAATAACTGTGCATAGTATAATTTTTAAATGTATGGATGAGAAAGTCATCATCTTTCTCTCTAACACATCATGTAATATACAATTCACCAATAATTACTTATCTAAATTCATAAATATCACTTCAACACATCATTAGTCATCACACATAAAATGCAATATCTTTGAAGTATAGAACCGTCTCTTTTCTTGACAGTGCTACCTTCAGCCTTCCTTCAGATGGCCAGTCCTATCTTCTCTTCGTCTCAGTACGATTGAACACCATGAATATGGTCGACTTCAGCATCTAGTCCTCTGTAGCCATATTCAACATTTAAACATTCAAAAGTTGAGAAATTATTCGCACACAACACATAAACTTCCCAAATGCCAACTTTTCCCTGCAACTTTAGTGGGTTGTCCACTTGTAGTGAAGAGTCCATCCTTGTTTGCCTGGATTCTTCTTATTTAGTAATAGGAATTGAACAACCCAAGGACCTTTTCAGTCCCAGACGATCATGACTTAGCCATTGGCATTGTAGATTCCCTATAACACCCATAATCATTATTTTTTAGAAGCCTCACAGGGCTCCTCATATAATTACGCAGTAGTTGTTTTATACAGCAATATGAAAGTATGAAATTTAAACAGAAAATTGTGCAAAAGATATCCAAGAGAAGAATTAATGTTAAATCTTCTATGAATGAGTCTTCTCCCAATGAATCCATGCAAAATGCACTAAATTCTCCAAACACTGAGGTTACCGAATCTATACCAAAGTTGTTTTAAATTGAAGCCAGTTAGAGCCTCTACACCTGTTTTAATTCAGTTTATTACACAAAATTGTATGTAATAATAATATAAAAATAATAATACACCTGACATAACACATCCCCAAGTTCCTGTTTCCCAAAAGAAAGCTTGTACAAAAACAAATGATCCTCATTGTATGTCAAGTCCATAGAGAACTGTAATCCTTATGCTGTGGAGTGGGGAGAACTCAATGTTCCCAGGTACCATCTAAGGTTCAGCATGTTACTTATTATGAACTACCATAGACAGCAGTGTGTGATGTCAGCTTTCCAATGACACCGTTCGATCTATAGAGCATGTTATTAACATTAGCAGTAAGATGTGTACTCTAAGGCAGTGATTCATATATATGGAGTTATATCCCTCCTACAAGGAAAAAGTCATGTGGGGGGTCAGCCTTTAAGCAAAAGTTTGTCTTTTATGGAAACTCTGATACATTAAAGTTTGAAATTGTGTTGTTATATATCAAATTTGAAAAACTGCATTAGATAGGAGAAGCAAAAAGAAGTAATTATCCTCCTTCTCCGGATATCACTTCTCTTTCAGGTGTAAGGCACTCACAGACTTAACAATGAGGAAGCTGGAGTGT